AGTGCACCCCAACCCAGAACCAACGATGACAACGTCCCGGATACAGAGGAGCCATTAACCCACAGCCACTCCATCTTGCCAGGGTTCAGCTGGAGCCTGTTGTGCCCCATCCAGACCCTCACAGCCTCCAGGCACCGCGAGAGGACGGTCATGGCATCACTTACCTCACCAGGGATGGAGATAAATAGTTGAGTATCATCAGCATACTGAAAGTACCTCATCCCATGATGACGGATATTCTCACCCAGTGGTTTCATATAGATGATGAAAGGGAGCGGAGAGAGAACCGAACCCTGTGGCACCCAACAAAGGAGGGGCCGAGGATGGGACCTCTCGCTCCCTATCACCACCGATTGGGATCGGCCCCGGATAAAGGAGGTGAACCAGCACAAACCAGCACAGGTTTGACTTGATTCTGAGTCTCCCCAGTTGTAGTCCAACAAGCTCCCCACTAGACCAGCCTGCAAAGCTTGAAAACTCTAGGCTGATAGTAGACAGAAGAGAATCTATCTTGTACCATAGCCCACTGCAGTATTTTTAAACCACAGCATCTTTGAGATGTGTGGACTTCAACTCCCAGAATTCTCCAGCAGTCCACACATTTTGGGCAACCAAAAATGTCCAGTTCTTGCTCTGTGAATGAATATGGAATCCAAAAGGAAGGGTCAGATAGGATTTTGGTAGCTGGAAAGGTTAGAGGAGACTATGAACTGGGAGTGGGTTGGTGAGAGTGAATAGAAATGATGGGATATAGATTGGGGTGAGTTATACAGAAGGAGGAATAATGGTGGTGCTATGGCTCTTGATGCATTTGGACCTACATGTCAAATATGACTTCAGAATCGTCAATATGTATTAGAATATGAATATGGAAAATGTGTTGCTAGCTTAAACCAAAGGACCAGCATCTAGTCTCTAGTGATGGACATCCTTTAGGAAGGTCTCATGTAGGACATGAAGACAAGAAAATATCTCAACTGCTTTTCTCCACCAATTGGAGGTCAATGGTACAACATGGAAGGTAACAGCCACTGGTTTACAGGTAACTTCAATTAATTTGTTTAATTATGTTACATAAGTGGAGAAGAAAACCAGATAAAGAATATTATTGGGCATTACCTAGCCATAAAGGCTGAAGAGATTTGTCATGAACCACAAAACCCCACAAAGATCTAATATAGGTTAGAAAATGACCATCACCTTACATGTCCAACCATACGATAATTTTATATTGCTGTGCAAATCAACCTGGTTAGGTTTTCTACAAGAGCTATCTAAAATTGCTTTCAAGGGTGGATCCAAAATAGAAACTCTGAGATAGTAATTAAGTTTATAGATCTTACTACAGTTTCCCCAACTTGATATTCTCCACATGTGCTAAGCTGAAACTCCCATAATTTTGAACCAGCTTGGTCATGATTTGGAAGGCAGCAGCAAACTGGGGAAGGTTATGGGTGTCCAAAATGTAGAGGGTATAGATCCAGTCTTCTGATGCAGAACTTTCCTTTCCTTTTGCTCAAATCCAAATATGGTGATCCAAAGATACAAAGAATGCATCAAACTTATTGGTTTCCCTATTTGTATTATTCAGGCTCTTAATGCTGTTGCTTACATAGTCAAAACTTTATCTATGCACATGGAAGAAGGAGATATCCACAGGATTGGGATAAAATACCTAGGTTGGCAGAAGTAAAATAATAATAATAATAATAATAATAATAATAATAATAATGGAAAAATATGGTGACAAAAGAGGATTAGAGTCTGACAATGCTCACCGCTGTGGAGTGATGCATGATGTGGCAGGGTCTATGGTTGTGGAAGAACTGGATGGTCGGAATCTTAGCCTGTACCACTCTATGTGGCCCAATTGACCGTAGGTTCCACATCCTAGATGTTAATATATATTTTGCTGGTAAAATGAAGATTGCATCTCAACAGATAACAGCATCTAGGTGACCTTGTTTGGATTCAGAAACTAAGCTTAACTAATCATCCTCAGTTAAGACTTGGATGGGAAACCATCCAGGAGTACCAGGGCTGTAAGCTCAAGTACAAAGTCAACCGAACATGCTGAAAGAAGGCATTGATGAAGCACTTCAACATTGTTGCCAAGAAAACTGTATAGTTGGGTCCATGACGACATTAAAGAGTCAAGCTCAACTCATGGGAGTCTTTACTAACACCACCATTAAAAACAATGGGCCACTTCTGCGTTTTCCCTTCCTCCGCTCCTCAATCTTCATCCTTAAAGGTTCACTGCAATACACATTGTGGAAAACTGTAGGCCTGTCATAACAGTGCTAACAAATCTGCAATTGGGTCACGCAGCTTTGTGACACAAGATGCAAAAGGACCCAGGTTCAGTTTGTGGCATCTCCAATTAAAAAGTGGTAGAGATGTTGCTAATCCAACATTGACATACAGCCATGCAAGGTGCCAAGTGTTGTGGTCTTGTGTGTAACCTTAATTTTTTCCCTAGATGTTCATATCTGAAGCCTTTGGTTTTGATTATTCAACTAGCACATGTTTCTTTTAAATGAAAATGCAATAACGGATGATCAAGTCAAGACACCTTCTTAATTGATTGGAGATAAATCCGGCACCTCATCTATGGTTTTAACAGGACTATTTTGCTTGCCTAGAAGCCAGGGAAGTTTCCAACCAATTTTAGTTGTCCTAAGTGAAGATTAGTTAGTGGTACTTGATGGTAGAAAGAGAGCAAGTGGGGAATTTAAGGATTGGACTGTCCCAAATCCTTTTTCTATGACACTTAGAAAAATTCCCAGGAACAGATACTTTTAATTAATAGCTTGTCCATTAACGGAAACTACAAAGTGAGATTGTTCAGGGTAGGTGGGGGTTGAGGGGGAGTGGGAATCAGTCCACTGATAATAACAAAGTTTATGCCTCGAAATATCCAGAGGCGGTGCATTTTATTTTCGTACAGAAGAAAAGAGTCAAATATGTATTTTCCAAACGTTCTCTTCATACTCCCAGTGGAGTGAAGGTAGGGCATGAGTGGGGGTGGGAGAGGAAGAAGGAAATCATCTTTCCATTTCATTCATTCATAACAAAACCTACACATCCACTAATGAGGCATCATCTGAGTAGGTGCCAGCAAGACAATAAGTTGGTGTGAAGGACCAAGTACAGGATAGTAATCCCATGGAGGCGGGCTCTTTAAAGTAGAAGGCATCTCATCTCCCATTCCTTGGCTGCCGCTGGCACCTGGCTGAACATTTGGCCTTTCGTTGTGGATGGATGCTTTCCGCCTGTCCAGTCACTGGATCCTTGTCACTTATGCAGGCCTAGGAAAAGTATGAACACAAAGACTTTAGATGAGAAGACAGAGGGGGCCACAGACTTAGAGACAACCAGCCATCTGAATGCTTTGCCACCATTCAAGCAATTGTCATACAACACCATAATCTCCTGGAAGTTTCTAATCTGTGCCAAGGACCCTGTGTAATGGTATGTGGGAATGACCTTGGGAGACAGGAGGAAGAGCCACCGACTAGGAAATGGTCAGATAAGAGGCAGCTGAGCTCACAGAAGCAATGGGGAGTGGCAAACATCTTAGAAGGAATCCTCCCTAGTTTCTTGGACTGTAAAGGTGACGGGGGAGAGAGATGTTCTTTTAGACTTGCAAGATTGCTGTCAGCCTTGCAAGGTAGTCCAGACAAGAAGCTCATCCAGAAGTACTAAATCTAAATTTATTGTAATGTTACATTAACAGAATCTTGCAAGTTTGAAAGTACCTCTCTCCCCCCTCACCTTTACAGTCCAAGAAACTAGGGAAGGTTCCTTCTGAGATGTTTTCCACACCCCCATTGCTTCTGCGGGCTCAGCTGCCTCTTATCTGACCATTGCCTAGTCTGCGACTCTTCCTCCTGTCTCCCAAGGTCATTCCCACTTACCATTAAATTCTGTGAGTGGGGCCTTTGATACTATGCCTAGTAAAAAAATGTCATAACAATATAAAAGTTCATTCTCTACTAACAAGCTCCAGGATGCTGAAATATGTAAGTTTAGCAAATCAACACACGTCTGCCAGTTTTGGGGTATTTGACTTGGCTTCTGCCATCTTTAGCAGGGAGGCTATAGGCAGCTTGGCAGCCGCCTCGTCCCTGAAAATTCTGCTCAGCGTCTCATCTGCTGACACTTTCTCAAGTCGTCTGCGCTACTTTCCCAGGCTTAAAGACTATTCTGAGCAACAGCTCTAAGTCTAGGGGGCTGAGATGCTGAGTTTTGCAACCCTGAATTCACGTCAGTGTGATTGTGAGAATCGAAGGATCCACCCAGGATAAGCCACCGGGTTTTCTCCTTCCACGTTCTCCATCTTGCAGTATTCCTTAGGCTGTTAGGCATGCTAGTAGAGTTCTACAATACTAAAGTAATTATAATATGTGCAAGTGATTTATTCACAAGATACCTGCAAGCACTGGGGAGAGAAGGTACATGCTTTGCAATGGCTGCTGGGGGGAGTCGGTTTGCTTTGGGCAGAGTCCCTGTGGCTTTCCAGGGCTGGTTTGGCACTCGGCCGTCCGTCTGCTAAATGCTGCCTTTTCTGTTCCCCACAGAAGGAAATCGCTCAGTGTCAAACCAGCTGCTATTTATAATGCTTGACACTCTTAGTTGCATTAGTGAGCGATGCCTACATGCCGTCGTACCTTGAGAAGGCATTTTTACATGCTTCTTTTACAGAAGAGCTCAGGGCCATAAATTTCCTGGATATAAGCATTACTTTGTGTAGTAGGGATTATTACTCACAAATATTTTTATAATCTCTTTCTTGCAAAATGATAGGCCACCCTCCTTTCCCCTGGAATCTTAAGCCCATCTTTTCCTTCTGCTTCAGCTTTGAGCTTCTTTCCTCTGGATTAGTAAATCAAGCAGCTACCTTTGCTCCTCCAGAGGCATTGTGAATTCCCACTTTGCAGAAACCTACTGCATGAAAAATCAATATTTAATCTCCTTCCGCCTCCATCCAAATGAGGAGCAATTTGGAAGGTATTCAGTCCTGAAGCTCAAAGAGTATTTATCTTTTTTCCTATTGTGTAAACCATTGTTTGAGCAATCAAGGACCTCTCAAACTTCTGAAGGGCCACAGGAGGGTACTATGAATTTACCAGAAGAGACATGGCTGAAAATTTGGGGCCTGGAGGTAAACTGGTCTTCTTCCCACTCTGAACCCCCCACCAAACCTGAACAATCCCTCTCAGACTATTCATTTGTTGGCCTTTGGGGGAGATGTTAAGGCTTCAGGTGGGAACAGGAGGCCTCCAGACCAATCCCATTCTCAGCCCTAAGACTGTCCCAAACCTGGAAAATATGAGCTGAAATTGTATTTCCCAAATTCAGTCATTTTGCTGCTGAATGTTGGCGGCATTAGCCTATTGAGGTGGGGAACCGTTAATGGGATGCTGGGGGCCACTTGTGGTCTCTGAGACACAGGTTACTCACCCCTAATATAAGGTACTCTGGCAAAGCACCAGTGCCAGCTCCCCCCCCAAAAAGAGTAGAAGAATACTAGTTGCAACAAAGCAATGAAGGAGTAGGACAAAGACTTTTCTGTGGGTTTCTCCAAACCTTCTAGTTGGCCAGAATGGACAACTGGAAGCTGGACTAGAAAGATCTTTGATCTGATTTAGCAGGACTCTTGTGGAAGGTCCTGCTAAATCAGATGCGGAATGGTCTTGCAGAGCATGAAGGAAGAGTTCCACACCACTGCAACTTTTCTCGGCATGGCATGCAAAATGAAAACCTTTGTTCTGTGCTCCACTCTTTCATCCCACAAAAGGAATTGCCTATTCATGTAGGGAGACAGGAAGCAGGAGTGATGGAGGATTACTCCACCTTTGAGTAACCACTTCTTCCTAACCCTCTGTGAGACTTATGAGCAGATCCCACTTCTGGATTTGAAGGATGAGATTGAAACATTGCTTGGTGTGAGCAGCAGCACGGCTTGACTTTGGGCAGAGCAACATCTGATCAGGATGAGGCCTGCTTCACTCACGGAACATACAATGTAAACAACTGCCTCTCCTTTGGGGGTAAATGAATCCCTCAAAAATTCATTTCCATTCCAAATGCTTTGCTAGGGGCCTTTGGGTCAATCTAAGGGCCTTCCCCTATTACCAAGCACTATTCACCCCTCCTCAAGTCAGCATAAAACAATGAGGCAGAGCATTTGCTATCCCCATGGCCAACCCCTTTCCTGCCTCTGTTGCATCACTTCCAAGTCACTGCCACTTGATGTTGTTCTGAGTGTGCCACTCACTGTGGGCAAGGGGATCCAGTTTCTCTTCCCTTTCAGCATGTCCCCAGACAGTGGAGAAAACCTTCACTAATCAGGGCACTACTGCAGTCATGGGGAAGGTCTGACTTTGGGACTCTGCCTGAGCTTCTCCAGGCTGGTTTGTCTGCCCTCCCTCAGGCCCAAACTCTGTCATCCCCTAAATTAAAATAAAGAGCCAGTTGGGTGTAACAATTAAAGGCAGTGACTTAGAAACTGGGAGACCGTGAGTTCTAGTCCTGCCTGAGGCCCAAAGGCCAGGGGTGACCTTGGGCCAGACCCTCAATCCTCAGAAGAAGGCCAGGGCAAACCAATTCCAAAAATGTTGCCAAGGAAACTGCAGGCACTTCTCCAGCCAGTTGCCAGGAATCAAGACGGGCTCAAAAGCACAATAAAATAAAATAATCTGAAATTAAAAATATCTACCAGAAGGGCGTTTAGATAAGTTCTATAATGCAGATTAACAGAAACTGAGTAGCCGCTGGGCACCCTCTTCTCTCACTCCAAGGTGTGTGGGGAGAAGTCATTGCAATTGATAAATCAGGGAATTGGCAAACGAGTGCAAAGCATCCAAGATTGGATGGTTGTGTTCAGTTGCCATGCCTGGTGTTCAACAACTGTCTAAGGCAACAGTCTGTCATGCAGAGAAGCCTTATAGCCCGGCACCTCCTCAGGACAAGCCGTAGTATAAGCCTTCATCGAACAGACTAGAATTCCTCACACAAGCCCTCAAGAAATCCAATGCAGGTAGTTCTTGTTTAGCAACCATAATTGGGACCAGCAACTTGGTCGTTAAGTGAAGCAGTTGCTACATGAAACCACAACTGTGCTTATGATCATATTTCAGCTTTCCTTTGCTTTACAGACATACAGAGGTTGTAAATGCAAGGACTGGTTGTAAAGTTCCTTTTTCATCACCATTGTAACTGCGAACAGTTGCTAAACAAGGCAGTTGCTAAATGAATGCCACCTGTACCTTTGGATAAGTAATATTATTGAAAAATATTAGGAAGCTATACATTTTTGTGAGTGAGGAGGGTAGGAGCCCAAAAATGCTGTTTTTCCATCATGGATCCCATTCTCTGGAAAAGTCCTCCCCCAGAAGCTAGGTTCAGTGAGGCCCTTCTAGAAGATAGTGAAGACTCTTCTCTTCCAGAGGGAATTTGGGGATTGACTGAGCACATATGAACTGGATTTTATTTGTGAAAGTATTTGTTTATTACTGTAGTGTTTTATTCATTGCAGTCTGTTTAGATCTGCTGGTATTGTAGAAGTTTTCTTTGGTTGGAAGCTGCTGTGAATGGATTCCAATTTGGCAGCATAGAAATCTGACCAAAAAAAAAAAATTCCTTCCTGCCCGATATAACAAAGCACTTGGCCCCTCTTTTGTGTGGGCTGCTTTTTTCCATCGATCAGTTGTTTTTGGAATGGTCAGATTTGCTGTCATCTTGTTTTTCATTGAGAGGGTGAGGATTTATTCTCAGCGATAGGGTCCCCAGGATGCGTAGCTGCGCTGCAGGTGGGAGGCAATCTTTTCCCCCTGCTTGGTTCTCCCAGTCCCTAGACAAGCTGGCTAGGCATGTCTAGGTGCCAAGACATGCCATTTTTCATGCCAACTGCTTTCTCCCAACTACTGGTGAGAAGCTAAGGGAGACCAGCAGCATTGAAAATCTCCTCTCATACCGCTCAGCTCTCCCCACTGCTGGCCAACTGAGGAGACTGTGAGGGAACCTGCAGGCACAAAAGGATTTGCCGGCTGCTGGCCTCCTTCTGATGGTTTTGACAAATGCCAGAGATAATCCTGCAGCCAGCTAGCTTGGAAGCCACTTGGGCCAGTGCTGGGGGAGAAGGCTGAGAAGAACGTCTTCCACCATCTCTCAAAGCTATCTGTGGCCACCTAAGTTCTGCATTGAGGTGAACTTTCAGTGAAGCTAATTAGATGCTCCATGATCTGAATCTCTCCATGGAAGCACGTCAATGTCACTATGCCCAAGCTTCTTATGAAACTGACAGCTTCAGGTCTGTACAAACATCAGGCTGGGAGAAGCAATACACCTGCTTTTCCAAAGGTTTGGTGGGCATTAAACTATTGGTTTCCATTTAAGAAACAAACATCTTATGGAAGTTGCAACCAGAGTCCACAACTACCAGGCAACAGCTTTTCTAGTGTCATCCATCCATCCATCCATCCATCCATCCATCCATCCATCCATCCATCCAATTTCAAATGTATATCTGCAAGCTTTGGACAAGACCACCCCACAGTTGAAGATGTGCCATGCTTGGGTTCCAAACACAGTATCCCTTGTATTTCTCCCTCACCTGAGTGGCCTGCAAGCCACCCATTTCACCCTTGCCTCCACAATCAGCTGAAAACTTGTAGGTCATGTTTGCTTCTTCCAACCTGCTTTGGAAGCAGGCTGGAAGCGACAGGTTGAAAATTCACCCCTCCAGAACGGTCCTGTATGGGCAAACTCCCCAGTGAAATCTCATTGAGCTTTTAGGGCCACTTAAGCCAAGACAGAGCCAGTCTTGGTTACGGGACCTAATTAAATGGCAACCCTCCAGGGGCAGCCCAAGAATCTTTCGTTGTCTAGCAAAAAGAGGAAAAAGAAAGCTGCTTAAGAGGAGGTGAAAATAGCAGGGTGTGTGTGTGTGTGTGTGTGGCGGCATTCATTTCCTTTCTTTCCCCAACCTTTTTTCCTTCCTCCAGAATCTCACACTGCTTGAGCTCTGTCAAATTAGCTCACCCTGTTTATTCTCTCTTGCATGAAGCAGAGGATCTAAAGCAGCATTTGTCAACCTTGGCCACGCTAAGATGGGTGGAGTTGAACTCCCAGAATTCCCCAGCCAGCCATGCTGGCTGGGG